GGGGTGCCAGAAACAGGACTTCCTCCACCACATCCTCCCCATCTTCAAACCTTTTGGTTGCTGCAGTTATCTGCTGCAGCAATCCAAGCACCACCCATGAAAGTCCCGCTTCCAGGATTTGCCACATGATCAGAAGAGGGATGAAAGCGAGGGTGGAGATGAAAGGATTGGAGACCAATCCCGGTGCCGAAGAATATCCGGCTAGTCTCCTCTGAAGAACCTGGACTCTTTAATCTGCCGCCATTTGAGCTAGAATTTTCTCCTCCAGGTTGCAGTATTTCAGAAATCTGGGATCCAGTGGGCTGCTCATAAAATACTACTTTTTCTTGTTCTGTCATTCTGGTTACAGTCTCGTCCTTCCTTCCATTGCAGTTTCTGGTGTTAAGGAAGCGGCCGCCACAGCCTCTTGGGCGGCGCAAGGCGTGGAGATGCCGGGACAGGTGCAGATATGGCTGAAAAATACAAAAAAGATTGNCCAACTGTCACATATTTACTAAAATCGGTCTAATAAACTAAGGGCGCGTTTGGGTCAGATTAAATTCTGATTTTAATCTAAGTCAAAGTCAAACAATCAATATTAACCACATCTTTCATGGATCCCACATCTTTTCAACCACACATTTCAAAAACTTCTATCACAATCCACTAAAAATCTAATTTTAATCCCTACCAAACATCCTCTAAAATTTAAAGTCAAAGTCAACAATTAATTTTAACGACATATTTAATAGGATCCAAATCTTTTAAACCACACATTTCAACAACTTTTATCAAATACTACTAAAAATTTGATTTTAATCTCTACCAAACAAGGGGGCATATATCTTGTTTAGGTCCACTGCGCATCGAAAAGGTCCAACCTATGGTTTATCGGATGTCTAGCTTGTCACGTGACATTTTAACAAAAATTTGAACGGTTTCGTAGCTGTTTTGCAATTATAACTAGAAGGTTAAGTTACTTCTTAAAGTCAAATTCATTCTCCGATGCTTTAAGCCTATGTTTGGCTCTCATTTCCTTAAAAATTCATTTTTAACCATACATTTTCTCATAAAATAATATTACGCGTAAATTAGAGATTTTTTCTTATTTTTTAACCACACATTCTCCAAAAAAAATTACTGTTTCAAAATATAATTTTTCCAAAATTACATTTTTTTTAAATGAGATGTGAAGAAATTTGACCTTGCGGAGTTTTAGCACTTTCTTCTGCAGCTCTGCCTTAGCACGGAACTCTCTGCGCCTTAAAATTCTATGGTACTGCTTGGCATTTACAAATATTGGCCCTCCATTATCCGTGCTAAGATTCATTGGTAACATTATACGTCCCTAAAAATCATTGACAAACAAATTAGTTACGTGAATTCTTTCTTGTCACTACATAGTTCATACAATGCACAACTACGTCTAAATTTACACATTAGGATCGCTTTTGTAAACGTGGCCTATTAAAATCATAGTAGGCTTCTCAAAGAAGTTTCTTTGTGCCTACGAAAATACATCTATCGTTTATTTACGTTGCAGATAAAAATAAGACGAACCGCAACTTGAGGACTATAGGTCTCACATACTCCATTGCCCTGCTCTGCATGGAGAAACTTAGCACAAACCTAAGCCAATACAAAGACAATGAAAACACATATGAATAATTCCTTAAGTACAAGAAATGTTGTCAGATTTTGTATAGAATTTTGAATTGGAAAAATCCTGTGCGTGTATCTGTGTTTTCAAATTTCCAGTCCATCCATTTCAAATTTCTGTGTGTATTCTGTGAAATTTCCCTGTACTCATAGCATAGCTCAACACATGTATAGCATCTGGTTATATTCAAAAATACACACACACACGTGTGTTTGGAAATCAAAATTTCCAAGAAAATTTACCAGTGGTTGACCACATCCAAGCTCTAAATGGGATGCATATTCAATAGCAGTCTGGAGTTGAGTTTTTGCCACATTTGCACCAGTTTCGAGATCATCTGTATGATAAATATTTGTACAGTTAATGGGTGTTTACTTGCATTAGTTACCTATCTACAAATTTCCAGCTCTCAGCTTAATTAAATTACAGCGAGCCTTTTTTTTATTAGTTTAGTAAATTCAAGCTTTGGCTCCCTAAAGACTAAACAAATGGAAAAAGAGGGGGGGGGGGGGGGGGGGG